GAGGAACGGGCGGTGCGGCACTCGCGATTGGTCGGCCCGGCGCCGGCGCGCCACAGAGCTGTAAGGCGCGCGCCGATTGGTGTGACGCGCCCGAGCTCCGCCTCGCGGTGGGCGGGCGCGGCGAGCGGGTGTTCCAGGGAGCACGTGTTCGCGCAGGCGGGGCGAGGGCAGCCGCTGGCTCGCGCTCGCGTCGCGGGGACGCCAGGGATGGCGGGCGCGGGGTGGCGCGGTCCCCGGGTGGCTTTTCCGCCCGGATGTCCCCCAGGCTGTCCCCGGGGCTGCCCGGCGCGGGGCGTGCCCGCGGGGCTCGTTGTACCCGGCCTTCCTCCGCGGCTGCGTTTCAGGGGAAAGCGTCGTCAGCTGCGGCACCAGGAAGGCTCGGCCGTGCCGGCGTTACGTAAGGGCCTCGCCGTGCGACACCGCGGGCGGAGGTGACCGCAGCGACCCTCTGGCCGCACGGCGTGCCGAGCACCGGGCCCCGCAAGGTGCACGGAGCAGACCTCGTGAGGACCAAGTGTGGAAATTTCCACTAATTTCCTCGCTGAAGCGACTTGTGATTTTTTTACAGTTCCTAAATAAAAAATTCTTTTCCTGTTCTTCAGGGATTCTTTTTTTCTTTTTCTTTTTCTTTTTTTTTTTCTTTTTTTTTTTTTTTTTGGCCTTTTTGAGACAGGGTCTCAATATGCAGTTCAGGCTGCCCTTGAGCTCACTCTGTAGCCCAGGCTGGCCTCGAACTCGAAGCGATCCTCCTGCCTCAGCCTCCCAAGTGCTGGGATTATAGGCGTGCACCACCACGCCCGGCTATGCAGAGGTTCTCAAATTGATGACGGGAGCGGAGGGACAGAGTATTAAATGGAGCCTTCGGCGTGGCTATTTTCTGGGGGACCAGTGCACAGCATCCTTCTTAAGAGGTCTTTCTGCCCCCTTGAAAAAATCGAGTCCTCTCTCCAAGCCAGGACTGGAAACCTGAGCTTCTCCCTAGTCCAGGTAGGTGTGCCATAAATCGGGCTGGAGTGAAGGGTCTTAGGGAAGGGAAAGTGTTTTTCCTGTGCTGATTCCACACACTTCTGCTTATCAAGTTCTTGCGAGCAAAGTTCGTGAAAAATTATTGATAAGTCAAGACGAGGTTCCCCACGAGACAGATAAAGGAACACTTCCATAGGTTGCCCGTTCCAGCGTGGCCCCGGTTTCGAGCAGACTAAAAAGTGACTGCACGGCCACCATTTACTTGTGCTAGAGTCCAGGGGTCCTGCTGTTTGCGGTGGTAACGTTTTTTTCGTTTGTTTGTTAAGTATTCCATACTAATGGATCTGCAGGAGGTCTAAAGTAAGGTATGTCAGCAAAGTACTGTAAAGCAAAAAGATAACACGTCAAGCACTTAGAACAGTTCATTTACATAGGAAGCTCAGCAAACGGAAGTTTTAAAGGTCAAGTGTTCACAGTTTTCTACTTTATACGCCTATGTCTTGCAGTACTCAGGCCAGGCATGGTGGTACGCAGAGGCTGAGGCAGGAGAATCACAGTTCTAGGCCAGCCTGGGCTACATAGCAAGACTGTCTCCAAAAACCCACAATAATAATAATACTCAGCTCACACTAGGGGGTAGGTGCTATTATTCCCATTGTGGAGATAGAGACGCTGGGGCTTAGACTCCTTAGGTAGATGCTGCAGCTGAGACTAAAACCCAGGTCGTTTGACATTGCCCTGTTCTTTCCTCTGTAGTGCATCTGCCATCTGCAGTTGATAATTCGGAAGGAATGGACTTTTCAGAACCAATAGTAAAAATATGATAAATGCAAGGAGTGCTATCAAGCTAAAGGAGGAGAAGACCAGACCAGATTTGTGAAGGGTCCCTCAGCAGACGGAGTAGCTAGAGATTTCCTTGTAGACTTGCTCCTGAGCAGACCACGCCTGACCTCACGGAAGAAGTCGAGCCAGGAGATGGAGGTAACGAGGTTTCAGGCAGACACTCTTGGAAAAGTCAAGTTGGTGCTACCCTAGGAAACGAAGCTTAGAGCCAGCGGGGTGGTGGCACCTGTCTGTAGTCCCAGCTACTTTGGAAGCTGAGGCAGGAGGACCACTTAGCAGGAGGCCGCTACTGCCATCCTCACTTTGACCCCAAAGTGTTTGGGGCCAGTGTGGGGTACACAGCAAGAATTAGTCTGTTGACAAAAAATATACAAGGGGTTAGTTCAGTGGTAGAGGACTTGTATAGCATACCCAAGGCATTGGGTTTGATCCTCAGCACTAGGAAAAAATTCAAATTTACATATATAGATTAAGTGCATATGCATAAATACATATATAAGCTGGGCTTTGTGGCACACTCCTGTATGCCTAGCGCTCTAGGAAGTTGAGACAGGAGGATTGCAAATTTAAGCCTACCCTGGGTAATGTGGTGTGTTGTGGTAGCAAGAACCTCTCTCAGAAGGGGTGAGGATATAGTTCAGTGCATACACCTTGGGCTCAATCCCCAGTACCACCCAAAAAAAGTAGATACATATACACATATATACATATGTAGATATATACGTGTTAAACATGTATGTATGTATTTAAAAAGAAAACTGAAGGGCTTCCTTTGTAATGTAGAGAAATTCTCCCTTTGAGGATAATTAGAAGGATTGGATAAACATTTCTCCATTTGCTCAAAGCCCCAAGAAAACTAAAGAAATGACACCGACTCACCAGGAGGCACCCACGGGCTGGATAAGACCGGGGAGCAAAGCCCTGTGCTGTGTGATCCTGTGCCCCGGGGCCAGGCACCAGTGCTGCAAAGACACGCTGAGAAGCCCAAGGCTGAGCAGTCCCTCTCACGGGCCTCTGAGCAGTCCCTCTCACGGGCCTTGGTACTAGGAGAACGGAAGTCAGTGTCCAGGACTCCCTGGTGCAGCAGGAAGCCCCTGTGAACCCCTCCTTTGTGTAGAGCCCCGAAGGGCTGCATCCCTAAAGCAGGCCATGCCGTACACCAGGCCTGTTTTCCCCAAAGGCGGACCTCGAGACAAAGCTGTGGTTGTGAGTACTTTGTTTAGAAAATGGATTGCTGTGGGTTCATAGCCAGCCTGGGCTACAGAGGGAGACCCTGTCTGCAAACAAGAGAAGAAAAAGAAAGAGATCGAGATGGCAGGAAGCACCCCTTGGGAATGGAGAAATAAATGCAGGCAAGGGAGAAAACCCAAGAGAACGTGTCGGATGAGTGTTCTACCCTCTTGGGCAGCTGGAGCTCAGCCCCAGCCCTCTAGAGACCACTCGGGAAGCTTCCCCGTGCGCCAGCTGGGGCCAGAAGCTGGGTGTTTATCCCTGCTCGTCTCTCAGGATTAGGGACTTCCCTAGGGTGCTAAACCCTGACACTTCAAACCTTCCCCTCTTGGGAGCAGATCGTACTCGCACAGCCAGAGGAGCCCCAAGAGTTTCAAATACAACTATAATTTGTATATTTGAAACAAAAAATGACAACAGAAGGGTTTCAAGAATGAAAATATAATTAGGGCATTTTTTTAAAAGAAAAATGAGCCGGGCATGGTGGTGCACAGCTTTAATCCCAGCACTCGGGAAGCTGAGGCAGCGGGATCACTGTGAGTTCAGGCCCATCTTGGGCTACATAGTGAGTTCAAGGCTAGCCTGCACTACATAGCAAAAGAGCCTGTCTCAATAATAATATTGAGTAAAAGAATGCAGAATGAGCACTCAGGAGGCTGAGGCAGGAGGATGACAAGTCTGAGGCCACCCTGGCTATGTGGTGAGGTCCTGTCTCAAATAAACAAAAAAAGCCAGAAAGGGTAATTTTCATTTATATGAGACTCAAAACCTGACAAGTGAAACTGTCCTTGTTAGGCTCCTGCCTCAGCCTCCCCTCAGCCATGCCCAGCCATGTCTTACCTCTTTACCTGGCTGTGACTCTTAGGATGTCCCTCACTTTTAATAAGTGGTGTGGCTGTGCACTTTCCTTGTGTGTGTTTTTCTGTTCTGTCCCGGGGTTTCAAACCCAGGGCGTGTGGATCCAGCCGTGTCCTTGGCCCCTTCTCATTAGTGCGTGTTTCCAGTATGTGATCGCATCAGGTCTTGACCCTTTCCTGTCCTCTCCCACCTCTGTCTTGGGGTCTGGTCGTCCCAAGTCGTGTGCGCCATCTCGGTGGTGACACTGGGCACGCCGCTCGGGGTCCTCCTCACTGTGGCAATGCCGGGGCTCAGCTGGCCTGGAACGGGTATCGGAACACACTCTGCAAAAGGCTCTGGGGCAGCAGAGACCTACGAACCCCACAGCTTGGCTTGCAGAGTGAGGAAGCAAGGAGACACTCGCCCCACTGCACACAGGTCGGATTTAATGCCCAGCCCCAGAGAACACATTCAGTTATTCGGTGGACAACACTGAATAACTGCCCTGCACAGCAAACGTGCTGGAAGCAGGGTGCAGAGGAGAAACGGGTCCTGCTCACCCGGCTCACAGGGGTGGCAGGGGGCTCTATCAACGCAAAGTAGTACAAAGCAAGACTGAGTGCCAAGTCAATAGAAAAGGGTGTGGTGGCACAGACCGGGAATCCCAGCTGTCCTGGAGGCCAAGGCAGGAGGATTGCTGTGAGTTAGAGGCCAGCCTGGGCTACAGCTGGGTTAAGGCCAAAATGGACTACATATAGAGACCCTGTCTCAGAGAAGGAGGAAGAAGGGGAGAAGGAGGAAGTTGAGCCCGCAGTAGTATGACCCTGTCTGGTCTGCAGAAGCAACAATTCCACGTAGTGCTGAAATAGAAGTAGGAGCTGGAAAGGCTGAGTTCCCCTCCGAGGGTCACAAGGAAAGGTGGCTCTGGGTGGCTGTGATGGGACACAGTGAGGCAGAGGTGTGTTTGTGGGGGCAGCACCTCTGCAGCCCAGGCCCAGGGAGGAGCCGGTGGGGCTGCCCTGGTCAGGAGAGCGCTGCGCAGGGCCCTCCCTGCTCTGCACGGCCCACGGCTTGCTTACAGTGAGTTTTGTTTCTGATGTTTTGCGATGGGGGTTCGCTGTGTAGTCTACCCCAACTTCACACTCGCAGCCACCCTCCCACCTCAGCCGCCCGGGCGCTAAGACCACAGGGGTGCGTCACCGCCTCCAGCGAGCCTACATCTTGGTTAAAGAGTCAGTAAAAACTCTCGAGTTATAAAGATAATGAAGCTGGGTGTAGTGGCACGCACACCATAATCCCAGCACTCGGGAGGCTGAGGCAGGAGAACCGTTGCAAGTTCAAGACCAGCCTGGGTTACAAAGTGAGCTCAAGGCCAGCCTGAACTGCCTAGCGAGACCCTGTCTCAAAAAGACAAAAAAAAAGAAAAATGAAATCCCCACACAAACTGCCCCAAAGGGGCCTTCTCCTGGGGGAAGAAGGAAGGATGTGACCTGGAGCACTTAGCTCCCTGGGTGGGGCTGGGAAGGCGGCTGGGAAGCACCCCAAGCAAGAACTAGTTCAGGTCTGGGTTGAGCGACCTCCCCGGCCGCTCTCAGCTGCTGCCGCTGCTACTGCTTCCCCTCCTCCCGTTCTGGTTGTTTGAGACAAGGTCCTGTTCAGTAATTGGGCTGAACTCCTTCCTTCTGCCTCAGCCTCCTGAGTGCTGGGATTGTAGGCCTGCACTACACCACCAGGGGTCAGCCTATGTCTAGCCAGCAAGGGCTCCACCTGCTGACCGGTCGTGTCCACCCAGGCACCGGACCGCCTGGGCTCTGTGGAAATGATAGGTGCAGCTGCCGGCCGTATCTTGCAGTCACCTGTGTACACTAAGAAGTCGCTCAGCCCCCTCTCTTCAGTCTTGTTTTGTTTTTTGAAATGGTCTTGCTGTGCAGTGCAGGCTGGCCCTGAACTCGGGAGTGCCCCTCCTGCCTCAGCCTCCGGAGAGCTGGGAGCTGGGGCATGCACCACCGCACCGGGCTCCAGTGCTCATTTCTTGACTGACTGGTCGGTGTGAATGGGACTCTCAGGAACCTGTGTCTTGGCTCCACACTGCTGTGCGGAGCTCAGGAACAGCAGTATGGGCGGACCGGCCTGCCCTGGTGTGGCCAGAAATGGGCCTCACATCGTACTGCAGAGAAATGACAGCTCATGAGGACAGACACGCTCATGTCGCTGGCGCCACCGCAGCGGGCTGTTGCAATGGACTGGAGAAGAGACAAAGGCACAGTGTGACCCCGAGCGCAGGAAGTCGCCATCAGGATGTCACCTTTGGACGTGGGGGTGCACATGACCCCCGCAAGGGAAGCAAATGAGAAGGACAGAAGTCCTCATCCCCCGTGTGGGGAAGTGGGGGTCGTGATCTCAGTAAGAAGAGGGAGGGAAAGCCCGCACACTTCTCATCCTGGTTCTCTTTATTCTCCTGTAGTACACAGTGAGGAAAGGTAAGCAATTAAGCGCAGTCCAGCATGATAGTGCACGCCCGTCGTCCCAGCACTTGGGAGGCTGAGGCAGGAGGATAGCTTTAAGGTCAGGGCCAACCAGGGCTACATAGTGAATTCAAGGCCAGCCAGAACTACAAAGTGAGACCCTGTCTCAAAAAAAAAGAAGAAAAGGTGACATTCCTCATGCAATTACAAATAAGCAATAGCTCTCTGCTAGGTCACTGTGGCCCATGTGTCACTTGGCTTGTTTATTTTTAATCAGATATTTTGCTACCCACGGAAGTGGCCGCCAGCAGACTCTTCACCTCTGTAAACCTCTGTTTCCTCATTGATCCACAAAGATGGTTGTGCCTGCTTCCCTGAGGTACAGCCGTGGGGTTTTACACCATTACCTGGCGCTACACAGTGAAATGTTCACTGAATTTAAAAAAAGTCTCAAAATCTTGGAAGCAGCCTATATGTCCATCGACCAATGAATGGATAAAGAAAATGTAGTACTCACAGTGGAGTACCGTCTGCCATTAAGAAGAATAAACTTAAAAAAGAAGGATAAACTTGAGTCGTTTGGGGTTTTTTTGTTTGGTTTTTTTGTCTTTTTGAGCCAGGATTCCACTATATAGTTCAGGCTGGTCTTGAATTCTTTTTTGTGGCCCAGGCTGGCCTCAAACTCAAAGTGATCCTTCTGTCTCAGCTTCCTGAGTGCAGTGATCACAGGCATGCACCACCACACCCTGCATTTGTAGGAAAACAGATGCACCTTGAGAGACCATAATGTTAAGTGCAATAAATCAGACACATGAGCTTATATATCACGTGATTTCTCTTACATGAGAAACCTTGAAGAACAAAATAAAAGATAGACCTTGCAAGTGTGAGATCATGGGTTTGATTCCTGGTACAAAAAAAAAAAAAGATAGGAAGTGGGGAGGAGATAGATTTTTGCAAATGGGAAGGGGACCAAGAGATGGAGGGAGGAGGGCAAAGGAGAGGGGAAGGGGTGGAAAAGAATGCAGATGTGTTGCCTGTCCTGCAATGTGCATAAAAGTCACAGATATAATTACATGTATCATGATGAATAGAATCACGTGTACAGCAAACACACTAATAAAAGTTTAACAATTTTGTGTGTGTGTGTGTGTGTGTGTCTTTTTGAAACAGGGTCTCGCTATGCAGTTCAGGCTGCACTTGAGCTCCCTTTGTAGCCCAGGCTGGTCTTGAACTTATACTCACAAAGATCCTCCTGCCTCAGCCTCCTGAGGGCTGGGATTACAGGCTTGTGCCACCACACCCAGCCTTAACAAAATCTCAAAACTTACAATCACTTAAAAGTTTTTTTAGAAAGCGCCTCCACCCACATCCCCAAATCCCAACAGCTGCTCTGGGCTGGAGTTTCCTCTCCACCGTCCTACCCAACTGTTTGTACTGCTCAGCCTGGGCCAGGCCTCGCTGCCTCAAGCCTGGCTCCTGGCATTTCACTCTGTGCGCTGCCCCTGCCCCCCAGTCTAATCTGCATTTCCTGTCCTGGAGTATTGCCCAAAATAATTCCTCAGAAATTCAACTGGGCGTGGTGGTGCATGCCTGTAACCCCAGTGCTCAGGAGGCTGAGGCAGGAGGATCATTGGAGTTCAAGGCCAGCCTGAACTGCGTAGGAGACCCTGTCTCAAAAAGACAAAAAGGAAACTAAATATTTATGACAAGAGAGTCTTACTTAAGACTCTCTTTGTGACCTCTACGTGGTCACAAACTCCCCTCCTCGGCCTTGTGTCCCCATCCATCTAGGCACCAGGGCTGCAGAGCATACATTTCTATCTTTAATGTGGATAAATAGCCCATAATCATAAAGTTACAAGTGATTTGCATTGATTCTAAATCTGCTCGCTAGGTCTTCCTGCGCCTATTTTCTTAGTGAAAAATGGTCACCTAACCACATCCTGCTTCAGATTATGTAGCGTCACAAGACAACTCTGAAACTGAAATTGTTGCCGTGCCCTTAATTGTCAGCAACTTCAGTAACCTCCAAAAATATAATATCAGAGAATTAACTTTTATATTTTTTAGTGATCATTTGCTTGACTGATAAAGCAGAGCTCTTTCTGGGCCTTTGCTTCTGATGAGTTTTATTTATTTTCGTGGTGCTTGGGGATTGAACTCAGGGCCTCCTCACTGAGCTCCATCCCTGGCCTTTTAAACTTTTTTTTTACATTTTGCTGCCAGGTCTCACTACTTTGCCCAAGCTGGGTTTGAATTTGTGACCCTCCTGCCTCAGCGTCCCAGAGCTCTGGGGCTACAGGTGTGCAGCGGCACTCTGGCTTCTGATGAGCCGGGGTTAGTCCATTAGTGCGTTTTATGATTTCTTTTTTCCTTTTCGGGGTGAGGGGCATTGAGACAGGTTCTGGCTATGTAGGTAAGGCTGGCCCCTACCTCACGGCGATCCTGCCTGAACCACCCAGGTGTGAGGTTACAGCCACGTGCCACCACACCCAGCACTTTTAACAAACAGTCAAAACACAGCTTTCACGCTGCCCAAAATCCCCACATCTATCTAAATGGATGCACCTTGAGACCATACTCTTAAGCGAAAGAAATCGGACACACGTGTAAATACCATTGTTTCTCTGGTGTGAGAAGCCGAAAGTGTAAATGAGGATCAAAGTGTGTATTAGATATTGGGAAACAGGTAGAAAATGTTCAAGTGAGAAGGGGAACTAGGAAGGGGGAAGGGGAAAGGAAAGAAGGAACACGAAAATATACACAAGGACAAAACGGAAACAAAGCTTTTGTAAGTGGGGGAGGGGCTGAAGGGAGGGGAGGGCGTGGGAGAGGAGTAACGATACCGCGTGTACAGGTGCAAGTTCTCTGACGAAGGTGATCGTTACGCATATCGACAGTATACCAATAAAAGTTGTTTTAGCAAAATATCTCCACACTAACGCTCAAGTGCAGCTGAGAGACGGAAGAGAGCGCATACATCTTCCCAGAGAGATTCCGAAGTCGCTGAAGATCAGTTTTCACCAACAATCAGAGAAGGAGCCGGCGAGAAAGCTCTCCCAGCAGCACGTGGCAAACTGGCACGACCCTCGGCAGCCCATAAACGGCACCTCTTAGGAGCCTGCGACGTCACTGGAGCCCGCCGTGGGCAGGCCGCATATCTACACCCTAGAAAACTTTTCTGAGTTGGGGATGAAAAATGTCAAAGGCATTTTCCCCTACCTCTCAAAACTCTTACTTTACTCTTCTTGGTTTTTCCATTCCAGCTCTTTGCCCAGTGAGGACATGCCGCCCTCCTGGGAGTCCTGGTCCCTGCAGCACGGCTGGGAGGTGCCACCCAACACGACGAAACGGCCTGGCTCCCGCGCGTCAGGAGGTGGAATAAGTGCGGCTCTGTCACAGGAACACTTTTCTGCAAAGAGCTGCTTCCAGGGAATGACCTCGAGGGGATCTGTGAATTTGTGGTTTTTTTTTTTTTGTTTTGTTTTTTTTTGGCGGGGGAGTTTGTTTTGTTGGGTACCGGGAATTGAACTCAGGTCCTTGCGCTTGCCGGGCAGGTGCTTGTGCCGCTAAGCTATATCCCCAGCCCTGTGTATGTTTTTGTCTAATGAAATCGTCCTTAAAAGCTCAAATAGCCAGGCATGGTGGTGCACACCTGTAGACCCAGCACTCAGGAGGCCGAGGCAGGAGGATCTCTGTCCAGGCCAGCCTGAACTGCATAGTTAGACCCTGTCTCAAAAAAACAACAAAAATGATACATAGGGCTGAGGGTGCAGCTCAGGCGTGTAACACTTGGCTGGCAGGCATGAGGCCCTGCATTCATCCTCAGCATGCGTGCACACACACAGTACAGTAAAGACCAGGTTTGTTCAGTTTCTGGAAGAAACACATGAATCTGAATTCATAATGGGAATGCTGGGATCGTGTCCCACAGTAATGAAGAAAGTTTGAAAAGCTGGGTGTGGTGGTGTACCTTGTGATCCCAGCAGGGAGGCTGAGGCATGAGGATCCCTGAGAGTTCAAGGACAGCTTAGACTACATAGTGAGGTCAAGGACAGTCTGAACTACATAGTGAGACCCTGTCTTGAAAAACCAAACAAGACCAAGAAAAAAAAAAAAGAGCTGGGTGGGGCGTGATGGCACGCCTGTAATCCCAGCACTCGGGAGGCTGAGGCAGGAGGATCATTGTGAGTTCGAGACCAGCCTGGGCTACAAAGTGAGCTCAAAGCCAGCCTGAGCTGCATATCAAGACCCTGTCTCGGGGCTGGGGATATAGCTCAGTGGCATAAGCACCTGCTTGGCAAGCACAAGGTCGTGAGTTCAATCCCCAGTACCACACACACACAAAAAAGACCCTGTCTCAAAAAGACAAAAAAAAAAAAAAAAAGTGAGCGCAAGGCCAGCCTGAACTGCATAGCAAGACCATCTCAAAAAGACCAAACAACCCCAAGAAGGATGCTTGGACCATGGTGTAAGTGATATGATCTCTACCCTTAAGGAGCCCAGGCACCACTCAGGGTCTATTTGTGCAGTGTCCACAAAGGGTCTGTGCACTCCTGAGCCACGGCCCTGCCTGGCCCTGCCTGGCCCTGCTCTGCAGCTGTCCCTGACAGATGTTCGTGCAAAATCCCTGTGGAGTCTGACTCAGCAGACTGCTCTGGGGCACCGTCCTTACTCCCTGATGGAAGACCCTGTTTGTTTGTTTGTTTGTTTGTTTGTTTGTTTGTTTGAGACAAGGTCTTACCACGTAGTTCAGGCTGGTCTTGAACTCACGAGATAGCCTGGGCTGGCCTCTAACTTGCAGCAATCCTGCCTCAGCCTCCTGAGTGCGGGGATTACAGATGTGCACCACCACACCTGGCTTTTGGCTGATAGAATCCCACCTCCAGTCTCCAGTCCTGTTCCAAAGTCAGCATGAATGAACAGGATGGGGTGGAGATGGGGGAGGCATGGGACTGGCTCACGCACCGTGCGTGGGGGAATAATTTATACCCCAGCTGCTCCAGGGTAGAGCATGTACATTGCCATGGTCAAACCCCCAGGAACCCCTCCAAGAAAAGCCATGTAAATTACACAGTACTAATCACGTTCTGTTTGTGAGGAAAATGAAAACATAGCTATGTTTTTCATGTGTGTGTGTGAGAGAGAGAGGGTCACATGCTGGGGCTGGACCCACAGCCTTAGTCATGTCGGAAGGAGCTCTACCACTGAGCCTTATGAGGCAGGAGATTCGGGCGTGGCAAAGCTGGCTGGGGAAATAGGGAGACCTGCTAGTTACAGAACCCCAGGACGCAGGTGCGGAGCAGTTCCCAAGGCCCTGCACTCCCACTTCTTGAGGGAACTCAAGCAGGTTTTCCGTAGGATGCTGGAGACCCAAATGATCTTGAGGCATGGGTGACACAAAAAGGACATGCACACCATTTTTGCCACCATGTGCTCTTGCATGGTGGCTACCCTCACGCTGAAAGGTGCTCTTCTTTTCCTAGGGTTACTTGGCCAACCTCGTGCCGCAGAGCCTGTGTCTTTGCCCACCTTTAATAAAATTTTGCTACCGTTTGCACTGGTCTTAACCATTTCTTCGCTCAGGACAGAAAGAACCTAGAAATCACCTGTAGAAGGGGACTCCAGCTCCCCCAAAACCACTAACACATTTTTATTCCTTTTTTTTCTCCCTGTTTTGTGTAGCCCAGGTCAATCTCAAACTCACAGCAACCCTCCTGCCTCAGCCTCCTGAGTGCTGGGACGACAGGTGTGCACCACCACGCCTGGCTTCAGTATTTATATTTTATTTGTTCATGCTTGAAGTGCACAGTGATCGCATTGCTCAGGGGACTTGTTCCGTGCACGTAACACATCTTAATTCCTTTTTCTCCCCTCCCTCTCTCCCCCGCTCCAGCTCGTAGTCCCCTTCCCATCTGGGGAAGGCATGCATGGCATCTTTTTCTCCTGTTCTTCTGTGTGGGGAGGCTTTGTTGTTGTTGTCTTGGTTTTTCGAGACAGAGTCTTGCCTGTAGTTCCAGCTGGTCTTAAACGCACGGAAATTCTTCAGATTCCCAAGAGCTGGGATTACAGGTGGCAGCACCGTGCCAGGCCGGTGCATACTGTATCTTAATTCTTCATTTTTACCCGTTCTCCTCCCACTTCCCTCCGTCTCTTGACCCCCTTCCCATTTGCAAAAGATCTCTCTCCCTGCTTCCTATTACCCATATTCTATTTTGCCTTTTATTTATGTGTTGGGTTTCTCATAGGAGAAGCCGTGCAGTGTTTAAGCCTTTGTCTGACGTACTGCACTTAACACGGTCTCAAGATGCACCCATTTTCCTACAGATGACTCGTTTACCCTTCTTCATGGCAGAGCAGTGCTCCACTGCGTGTAAATACCACTTTTTTTTTTTTGAGACAGGGTCTCACTATGCAGTTTAGGCTGGCCTTGAACTCACAGCAATCCTTCTGCCTCAGCCTCCCGAGTGCTGGGATGACAGGCGTGCGCCACCACACCCAGCAACCCTGTCTTTTAAAAAGAAATCCTAAACAAATAACAAAACACTAAAAGCTGTGGCACCTTTTCATTTTGTTGTTTTTAGGTGGGTTACTACATTGTGTGCTTACAGCCGACCCAGACTTTATTATAAATATAATTATATAATTTGTAATACATAAATTTTGGTTTTTTGAAACAGGGCCTTGCTATGTGGTCTAGGCTGGCCTGGAACACTATGTAGCCCAGGCTGTCCTCAAAACTTGGAGCAGTCCTCCTGCCTCAGCCTCCTTAGTGCTGGTATCACCAGTGTGTGCCACCCAATATGACTTTTTTTCTTCCTTTCCCTTCCCTTCCCTTCCCTTTTCTCCTCCTCCTCCTCCTCCTCTTCTCTCTCTCTCTGTCTCTCTCTGTCTCTGTCTCTCTCAGTGCTGGGGCTGCACCCCAGGGCCCCACGTGACCCCTCTGCCCAGCCCCTTTCCCTACAACAGACCTAACTCAGCTAGGCCTTACAGAGCTCAGAGCCTCCTGGGGCCCGCACCAGCTTTCCCAGCATCCTTCGCAGCGGGCTGCGGGACAGCCCGGCGGGGCGGGGGAGGGGCGCTCACGGCCTGGGCAGCGTCGCAGAGAGAAAGGGATGAGCCAGGGTAGGTCACGAAGCGGCAGGTGGAGGGTGGACGAGAAGCGGCAAGGAGCATGGGTCCCTGAGGACCTGCGCGGCCGGTTCCGAGGCGCCCCCGGGTCTGGGTGTGCCAGAGCCTCGGCACCGTCTAGCACCCTGTGTCCTTCGTCCCTCGGGCTCGGTCTCACCCGGACTAGCAAAGCCCTGGTGGAGGACGAGTGCGCGGGCTGGACGGGGGAGCGGCTGGACGTGCCGTTGGGGGTGGAGCCAGGCCCGGCACCTGGGGATGTCTCGGGGGTCCGTGGGGGGCTTGGCCTCGAGACGCGACCCCGTGCCGCCTTCAGCAGTGGCTCCCTCCAAAGTGGAGGATGATATATGACGATTAAAATGCCATCAAATTCAAAGATGATGATACATGTCCCATACCCTAAAAAGAGTAGGAAGTACAATTTCAGCAGAGGGAGCCAGGTATGGTGGTGCTGGCCACTGGCCTATGTTCCCAGCACTCAGGAGGCTGAGGCAGGAGGACCACCGTGAGTTCAAGGCCAGCCTGGGCTACTAGCCAGATCCTGTCCCAGAAGAAAAGAAAATTTCTCATCCATATAAAAATTCCACAGGAAGACGAGCCTCACTGCCAGAGACAAGGACGAGTGGACTCGGGTCGGCTGAGACGTCAGACCCCAGGTCTGTGCGTGACTCGCTTTGCGCAGACCATGGCCCACTGCACGGCTCTTTCTCCGCCCGGGCCCTGGGCCCCGGCTGCCGCCCCTCGTGCTGAGTAGTTGGTCGTAGTTGGTCATCGGCTGAGCCGAGTTTCCAGAGCTGCCCAGCCCCCGAGGTTACCTGGGCGCCCACCTGGTGCAGCTCCCACGAGCACCACCCCCAGTGAGGGGCCACCTGGACGCTGCACTCTGGGAAACAGGTCAGACACCCTCGGCCGGAGCCCTGCCAGGTAAGAGGACCCAGGATGCTGTCTAGAGTCAAGCGCGGCGGGGCAGGGCCAGTAGCCCCCCGCCTAGCCCTGCAAACAGAAACACAAAAGCTGCCAGGCACAGTGCTGGACGCTGTAATACCAGCTACTCGAGAGGCTGAGGCAGGAGGACTTCCAAGTTTGAGGGCAGCCTATGACGCTTAGGGAGATGCTGTCTCAAAAAATGAAGTTTAGAGATGTAGCTCTGTGTTTAATCCTCAGTACCCAAACAAACAAACAACAATAACAACACAAGAAACCAGAGGCAGAGAGGAGGAGACAGACACACTAGAGACACTGGGGCCAAGCGACAGCGCAGAAGAAGTTCTCAGGTTTTCTCTTTGCTTCCTATTCCTTGGGCTTAGAGCAGAACAAGCCGACAACCCAAAGATGCCCAAGAAGCCGGGAAAAGAAAAGAATCCCAACAGACGCCCCCAGGGCCTGATAGGCAGTGCGTGCTCCCGGGGCCACACTGCCGCTTGGGGCCGACAGGACACTCGGGGCAGGAGTGCTGCACGACAGAACCCGCCCTCGCTGGGCCAGCATTGGGACGGTCGCCAGCGCAGGCATCTCGGCTTGGTACTAGAAGGCAACCACGCCCTGCGGCCCAGAAATGAACAGCCCAGAGGCCGATTCGCAAAGGCCGCTGGGGCGTGTTCATATAACAGATAGCATGAAACCATAGCTGAGCAAGAAGGGAAAAAAACCCGGTCTGTGTTCCCCATGAACACGACACAGAAGTCCTTAGCAGAATTAGGTAGCATGGTGGCACGCACCTGTCATCCTGACACTTGGGAGGCTGAGGCAGGAGGATCTTGAGTTTGAGGCTAGCATGGACTACGTAGTAAGAGGTAGGCCAACCTGGACTACAGAGTGAGACCCTGTCTCAAAAAAACAAATATAAATGAGGAAATTACAAAAATAGCTATGGTAATTTTGAAGCGGGAAGCGGGAAGAATGCAGGACAGCACTCAGCCACAGCAGCGGGCTGTGTGGAGCCACTCCCCCGGGCCGGCAGGTTCTGACTCGGACACAGGAGGGATTTCATACAAAATAAGACTGCTGACCAACGGCGATTAAACATCACAGGAAGTAAAAATGAGCCTCGACCTAAGTATTCCACTTCCTGCAGAAAATTAACTCAAACTGGGTCAGGACTTGTATGTAACAGGTGAAACTGTCGAATTCCAGGGGAAAGCCGGGAGGGAATCTGCAGTGCTAGAACTTGAACTTGGGGCTGGGGATTTAGCTCAGCAGCACAGCACCTGCCCAGCAAGCACAAGGTCATGAGTTCAATCCCCAGTACCGGAAAAAAAAAAAAAAAAGTCTCAGGAGAACCCACGCTCTAAAGCAATTCCAGATGCTGGCAGGATGTGCAGATGCGATGCCATGAGAGGTTCTTCCTGCCTCTGCCTCCTCCAGTCTGTAAGAGAGAAAGAAGGCTGAGGGTTCCCAGAGCTGAAGCTAGAGAGTCACCGTGCGGGGCTTCCCAGCGATGGACCAGGGGCATTTAGCCCTCATTTTAGACCCCACCAGGAAGGTTCCCAGAGACTCTTCAGTTGGCCTGGTGGCTCACGCCTGTCACCCCAGCATGCAGCAGGCTGAGGCAGGAGGATCTCCATGAGTTCAAGGCCAGTCTGGACATATACTGAGACCCTGTCTCAAAGAAACATAAGGAGAGCTCTGCAGAGAGTGGCGGGTGCTCCTGGAGTTCAGGAGGACGCACCACCGGAAAGGCAAAGCTGCCGGAGCATCCATGATTGAGTGGTTGGGGCTTGGCTTTCTGTAGATCCCACTGGATCCATTCTCCACCGAAGGGGCGGAGTGACCCCAACACCAGGTAGACCGCAGAAGCCAGGTGCCAAGGGCAGCCGCAGAAGAAGGAATGTAGCCCAGTGTGGTGGCACAGGCCTGTAATCCCAGCAATCTGGAAGGCTGAGGCAGGAGGATCCCAACTTGGAGGCCAGCCTGGGCAACTTAGTGACTTAGTGAGACCCTGTCTCAAAATAAAAAATAAAATAAAATAAAAAAGATTGGGGCTGTAGCTCAGTGTGAAGGCCATGGGTTCAATCCCCACACAAGGACAGCCCTAGGGCAACTCGAGTAGAACATCCTCAGTGAGCGGCCCAGTCCTATGACCCTGGTGCCCCGAGGAGGCCAATGACAGCTCTGCCAACCAGAGCTTTCCTCCCTGGTTTCCAAATGCTCCAGATTCACTTCTAGTGCTAGGCCAGCAGAGGCACTCTTGACTCCAGCCCTAGGGCAGCCAGTGTTAGCAAGTAACTGCACGCCCAGCTAAATTTGGTGCATGCTTGGGAGGCTGAAGCAAGAGCACTGACCAAGTTGGAGGGCAGCCTGGGCTGCATAGTGAGAGCCTGTCTCCATAAAAGAAAACAGACAAACAAACAAACTGTATATATATATAGGCCCATGCATGAATAACCCAAGTGCTTAGCAAAGCTCTGGAACCCATCTGCTTATCTATCCCCTGGGCACTGGGGTAATTCCAAGTCCATGTAGCTCAGAAAGCAGTGATATTTGGGCTTCACCATTACATAAGTATCTTGTGTAGCTGACCCGGGTTGGGGCTCACATTACATTTCCTATACAACCTGTTTTTCCCCCTTAACAATTGCCTAGTTTAAGCATGTTCCATTTTTGAAAGCTATTTGTGCTTTTCTGTGGATTGCTTATTCAGGTTCCTAGTTGGGTAGAGTTTCTTCTTACTAATTTGTTTTTTGCTGTTGTTGTTGTTTGTCTTTTTGAGACAGGGTCTCACTATGCAGTTCAGGTTGGCCTTGAGCTCACTTTGTAGCCCAGGCTGGACTCGAATTTGCAGCGATCCTCCTGCCTCAGCCTCCCGAGTGCTGGTATTACAGGGGTGCACCACCACGCCCAGCTCCTTTTACTAATTTGTAAGAGTTTCTTTATATATTAAAAAATGAAGCTGGGTATGGTGACGCACGCCTGTAATCCCAGCACTCGGGAGGCTGAGGCAGGAAGACCATGAGTTCAAAGCCAGCCTGGGGGATGTAACAAGACCGGCTCAAAAACCAAACCACTGCAGAGGCTGGGACAGGAAGATCATAGGAGTTCAAGGCCAGCCTGAACTCCACAATAAGACCCTGTCTCAAACAAAACAAAAACGAACAAAATGAAACCGAACAATGCAAAGTAAAATCCTTGAAAAATCAGATCTGTGGGGGGTTGGAGACAGCAAGCTAGAGGGACGTGCACGTACAGGGACGTTTGTGTGTGGAAGCCCCGGCTGGGCCTGCCCGGCCTTTCATATCCAGCCCCACTCCAAGGCAGACTTTCTCGAATCAGTCGTTTCTCCAGAGATTCCTGCCGGCCCTCCCCTGAGGCAGAGCCGCCTGATCCAGTCAAGGCCCAGCAGCGTTTCTGCCTTGCTATGCCGTCACTGCTCCCTGCGACTTCCTTCCAGAGAATCAGTCCCACCAGGAAGGAGCTGGCGCAGTTACCCCTCAGGTACTCTGAGATGTTTCTCTCTTTGCTTGTTTGCTTGGGGCTCCCTCGGTAGTCTAGGTGGTCCCTAGGGCCTTGCTGTGTCCACCAGTCTGGCCCCAAACTCACAGCAACCCTCTAGCTCCGCCCCCCTTGTGCAGGGATGACAGATGTGCACCACCACACCCGGCCCTCTGAGGTGTTTCTCTTGAAATCCGATTGCTCTGTAGTGCTTGTGTAGCTGGGACCTGATCGCAAAGATGAAAATCTCACATCACCTCCCGCACTCTGTCCTGGCCATAGGGTGCAAGTGGGTCACAGCCACACCAGCACGCTCGCCTTCTCGTGGGCACGGGCGCGTCCCTCCTGCGCTTGCTGGGGACCTGGTCCCTGGACGCAGCAGGTCACGGAGCTAAAGGCTGTGTTTTAGGCAACTGTCGCTGCATATCATTTTCCACCGTTACCAGCTGCAAACCACTCAGCTTGCACTGCTACGGCTACTTATAGTATCCAGAAGTAAAACAGCTGGAATACAGGATAGGAACATACTCAACTTCACCAAACACTACCAACTTCCAAAGTGGCTGAATTAATTTCTACTTTATCCAACAATTGTATTTTACAAGTGTTCTACTACATGTTCCCCAAAGAGGATTCATGGCTTTTTGTCTTTTTTAGAAACATCTTGCCTAGGGCCGGAGATATAGCGCAGTGGTACAAGCACCTGTTTGGCAAGCACAAGGTCCTGAGTTCAATTCCAGGTACAAAAAAAAAGTCACCATAGAAACATCTTGCCAGATGTGGTAGCACATGCCTGTAATCCCAGCACTCAAGAGGCTGAGGCAGGAGGATCATTTCAAGTTTGAGACCAGCCTGGGCTATAAAGTGAGCTCAAGGCCAGCCTGAACTGCATAGTGAGAACCTATCTCAAAAAGACAAACATAAATAAATAAAAACATCTTGCTGGGCATGGTGGTGCACACCTGTAATCCCAGCACTTGGGAGGCTGAGGCAGGAGGATCGCTGTGAGTTCAAGGCCAGTCTGGGCTACAAAGTGGGTTTAAGGCCAGTCTGAACTGCATAGTGAAAACTTGTCTCAAATAAATAAATAAATAAATAAATAAAATAAAAAACTAAAAATAGATTATTCTTCAGCCGGCAAATGATTAAATAGACTGCAATGCATCCATGTCATGGAAAACTAAAAATAAAAACATCTTATGCCAGGTGTTGTGGTGCACACTGTAATCCCAGCAGTCAGGAGGCTGAGGCAGGAGGATCACTGCATGTTTGAGATCAGTCTGGACTACATAGCAAAACCCTGTCTCAAAAACACCAAAAAGTTAAACTTTACCCAGCATCAGAGTCCTAGTGTTGCAGCAGAACTGAGTCCAGGAAAGGAAGAACACCTGAGGAAGTCAGGAGGTAGTGGACAGCCTTACTTTACACCAGCGGGCCTGGCTGGAATAACTGCCAACAAAAGCCACGAGTGCCTGTGAGCCAGCATTCTTATACGAGGCAGAAGCAGACGTGATGAAGGTGGGGCAGGATATCCTGGTAGTTCTTCTGATTAGCTAGCAGGGTGAGATCATCAGTTAAAGGGCTACATTAATGATCATCGGTTACAAGGCTAGATTAATGATCATGCAGCTTGGTACAATCAGGCATCCTCCATGTCCGGTTAGGCTTTCGTGGTTACAGGGGTCAAGAAAGTAATTACAAAGCCATGAAGCAGTTACAGGGCTAGGCAGCTTCAAAAGAACAAAGCTTTTAAAAGGACCAACACTCCTGGTACAGTTTTTCCCTTTCAACAGTAATAGCAGTCTGGGCCAGGAGTACAGCCCAGCAGCACCGTGCCTGCCTGGCAAGCACAGGTCAGGAGTTTGATTCCCACTACCAAAAATAAATAAATAAAATAGCAACAGCAGTCTCACGTTTTATCTTCTTGTGCGTTTGTGTGAGACAGGCTCTCACTGTGCACTCTGGGGGGACCCAGGCGTTGTACTGGGCCGGAGAAGGGAGTGAGAGTGCAGGATTCAGGCACGGCTGGGAGCAGCCATGGCTGGAGGAGCCGAGGGTCGAGACGCCGCTCTGCTCTTGGACTCAGCCCATTGGGGACACAATGTCCAGGTGACAGAGCCACATGGGAGGTGGGACCCACGTGCGGGGCAGGCACTGTCAGAGTCCTCCTGGGTAACCTTGGGACTGACCCTCTGAAAGCAGGCAGCAGCTGTTCAAAAACAGCACCCTGGAGTGTGTGCAACATGGGCAACTGGACCAGCCACCTGCTGCCCACCCGCGCTCCCCCAAATCCCACCCGGAGCTGTCCTTCCCCCTCTAGAACTCTGACCAAAATTAGTAAGGAACAGGAAATCCAGGCTGTTTTGATCAGAGACTTCACTGGGACTCCAAAATACTTCGACCTTTGGGAATTTCCTAGAACTAGATCCTAACTAATCTTTCTATGTTAGGGTCAGCAAATATTTGTTTTTGTTTTTGAGACAGGACTGGCCTTGAACACATGATGTAGTCTGGGCTGGCCTAGAACCCACTGTCATCCCCCTGCCTCAGTCTCCACCACTCCTGGCTTTTCAGTTGTATTTTAAATTTTAAAAATACTATTTTCATTGGCACGTGTGTGCAACCCATAACGAACGCCCTCGCCATGTGGAGCTGGTCCCCGTCTGTACTGCGTCTGAATCCTTTTCCTGTCTCGTCCATCATGATCCTCAACAGTGCACAGGCGGCAGGGGTCCAACAGCGTCTGAGGTCAGGAGGAATAAATAAAGCTAGGTAGGAAGGAGATGAGGAAAATCCAAATTTTAAATTTGTAGTTTTAGCCAGGCATAGTGGTGCATGCCTGTCATCGCAGCACTCAGAAGGCTGAGGCAGGAGGATTGCTGTGAGTCTGAGCCCAGCCTGGGCTCCATAGTGAGAACCTGTCTCAAACAAACAAACAAAAATTGTACTTTTAAGGGGCTGGGGGTTTAGCTCAGTGGCACAGTGCCTGCCTGGCAAGCGCAAGGTCATGAGTTCAATTCCTGGTATCGAAACCCGCCCCCCAAAAAATTGTACTTTTAGGAAAAGCTGCAGCTTCTGGACACAAAAGTTACCTGAGCCTTCTTCTTCCTTCCCAGGAAACTATTTGAAGACCTTCCTCAGGGTTAAAGACCCGGTGATTGGTCAGGGGGGCTCTGGGCCGAGCTTTTTCCTGAGAACAACACTTCCGACACAGACTCCGCTCTGGGAAGCTGCGATGCCTCAGACATAGGTGCTGTCTGTGTCCTAGCAGAGCCCCCCAGAGGGTGACCTGGGGCAGCAGGGACAGCCCCCCACACCCAGCCAGCCCAGCGCGCGCCTCTCCCGGGCCCGCACTGACTTTGGAGGTGAACTCTGCAAGTCTCTGCCACGTACACCTTCGTGCCTGGGCGGCTGTCTCCCGCACACTCCTTCTCCACCCCGGCCCACAGCCCGGCTGTGTGTGGGCCAGGGACTCTCGGAAGGGGAGGTCCCACCCCATACCGCAGCACGGACCAGCAGGCTGGGAGCCAGGATGGAAGAAAAGGGAAAGAAGGAAGCCTCAGTTTCCTCCCTCCCTTCCCTTCATTCCTTTTCTTTTTTTCTTTTTTTCTTTTTTTTTTTTTTTTTGAGACAATCTTACTATGTAGCCCAGGCTGGCCTCAAACTCACAGTGATCCTCCTGCCTCAGCCTCCCAAGTGCTGGGATACCAGGCGTGTGCCACACACTTCTGTTTCTTCACGGGAGCTCCAGTCTTCGCCGTCACCTTTGGACATTCCTCCGGCGCCCGCCCGACTCTGCAGCGGCCATCCTAATCCTTGTGAATCCTTTCACGTCACATCCTGCAGGAGATCTGTGCCCTAGGGAGCCTAATATCGGGCCTGAATAGCACCGCGTGATTGGCCACGATGACAAGAACTGAAGGAAGGGCGCCGAGACCTGACCGAGAAGGGGCCTCCGCAGGCCACGCGT